ATTTAAACCCAATGTACCTTTTCCATTTGAGACCCATTTTTCAATTTTTTGGTAAATTTTTCAAATTTTAGTGCCCTGGGCAATTTTTTTCTCAATACATAAAAACTTGAGTATTTTCACATGGTTACATCACAACTTTTGGTTAAATCTGTCATTAGTAACTCCTGTATGCAGATCTAGGAAGTATACTGTGCTTGCTTTTTCTTTTCTATACCTCATTTTCCTGGAGTTGACGTTTTCTTCTTCAATACTTTTTTTTTCTGCACCTCAAGCTGGTTTTTCAATGTTGCGCTGTAATGGCTGGACTGTTTCTTTCTGAGTGCTCATCCATAGCAAATAACTGTCTGGGATCAGCAGAGTTCCTTGCAGACCTCTTTGTTTCAGTTTAATCCAGTGACTCTAACCCTAGTCTATACCTAGTATCAGTACCTTCCTTTGCCATTCTCTTAGGACCATCGATTCTATTTTTCTTGCTTTCTTCTTCATTTAAGTGAAATATGTCTTCTAATAGTATTCTCAGAAACAGTTCATCTTTTGTCAGTCCTTGCCTGGCTAAAGCTGTAGAGGTGTTGCTTAATATGCACTATATGTTCTGTGAAATAAAATGTTATTTGATTTGGACATTGTGCAAATACAATATATATGTAGTATATGAGGAGACTTCAAGAGATTCATGGAGAAATGGAATGAAAAGATAATGGAATTTTTCAGTGAACTTTTTGAAAACTCAAGTTCATTGTCATCGAGTAGAACTTTTTGAAGTGCCCTCATATTTGTTCGTATATATTTAATACACATATGTCAAATTAACATCCACCTCCCTGTCCCCAATCTATTCTGACTATCTGTTAGCATGCACAGAGCCTCTGGATTTGCAAACTTGCACCTGTAGTAGACTGCATCTGGGCTTGGAGCAGCACCCTCCACCCCCACCACCACCACTCAAATTAAGTAACTCACTGCCATTGAGTCAACTCAAATTCACAGTGACCGTCAGGGCAGGGTAGAACTGCTCTTGTGAGTTTCCAAGACTATAAATATGAGCGTAAAAAACTTAACCTAACCTTTCTCACTGTGAGCAGATGGTGGTTTTGAACTGCTGACTTTGCAGTTAGCAGCCTATCTCATAACCCATTATGCCACAAGGAGGAACAGCTCTGAGCAGTCTCAGGTTCACTGCCTTGAAGTCTTTGAACTCAGCAACCTGGTCCATAGCAAATTCCAAAAGGCAGAGCAGAATGGCTTCACTGGGCAGGCACGCCTCAGTAACCAAGGGAGCTGCAGCAGTTGTGAGCTTAGAGTTGACTGCCAGTGTGTCACAACCTAGACCTTGACCTTGACCTAAACTTAGCACCTTTCCAGGCAAGCCCTTCTCTAGCCAGGAACTGACAAACATATCAAATCATAAGTTAGCCTAATGGATATTATAAAATGCATACATGTATTTACTTGGATGATGCACATAGGGAAAACTATTTTCCCCACATGGTTTTTTAAGTAATTTTTCACTATCTTCTTACATCCAGTGTTGGTTTTGATGAATTTGGAATCAGTCTTAACCCTATTTGATTGTATTTATTCTTTTTAGATGTATTTACAGTTTTTATCATGTTTTGAAGTTGCATAATGATATACTTTGCCCTTTTATCTTTTTGTCAGTATTTCAACAGCAGACCTTTACAGTTTGAGAGTTTTTGTTTGGGGAAGTTTTCTGTTCCTTATTTTTAATAAATGTTCACTATTCTCTGGCCAGTGGAGGAAGGGGAGGGGTACTCCAATTGCTCTGACGTTGGACTCAATGTGCATTTTCTTTTTTATTTTCCATTCTTAACTTTGCATTCTTTTTGAAACCGTAATGATTTATTTTAGTTGCCATACTAACTTTTGAGATCTCCTTAATTTTTGTATGGTCTTCAATTATTTTGTTTTCTGTGTGTTCTTTGTTATTGTTTAATGGATTCAGTAATTTGTACCTCTCTTGAGACAGTGTGTATTTGGGAGAGGGGATATTCTTTTGTGCCCAGTGTTATCTCTGATTTTCTTAAACCTCTTTCTTCCTTTTCTTGGTATTTGTTCTCTCATATGAGAGGATGTCTTCGAGTGGTGCTCCTTGGTTGCCAATATAGAATTAAAGAGTGAGACACTAAGAAGTTAAAACCTCATCTGTTTGACTGGAACAGGGTGACTTTACATATCTATACAGGTTGTGCACTGTTCAACTCACTATTACATACACCCTTTTGTACTCTCAAATGTTATCAATATTCACCATAAAAAATTTTAAATATTTATGAACTTACTGAAAATAGCAGTAAACCCATTATATTTTAGCATAAATAACTTTCCTTTTTTTTAATAACTCTTTTCAAAAACAAAATATAGTAAGTGTTAGAGGGGGATTTTTAAAGCTTTTGTATATATTTAATGTCTAATATAAAAGAAAATAGATTCTCATATCTGGTTCTGCATTGTCTATTGTGATACATTGCTTTGTTTGAAATATATGAAGAATATCTAGCTTTGTCTAGTGCTTTAATAGCTTTTTCAGGTCATTGTGCATTTTCTTCTTTGATACTACACCCAAACTAGATGAGTTTGTTGTAATGTGGAATTTTATTCCATGTTGGTAAATGTTTGGTACTTACATCAAAATCTATTGGTCTTTTGTACTTTAAATGAATCATTTTTAATTGTTGAATGTGAAACTGATGATTTTCTCTGCAAACCTTCAAAAATAACTGAATAAATGTTTTGCCCATACATGTTTATTGTAACATGAGGTGGTCACCAATGTTTATTGATTCACTAAGCTATTTAGGTCTTCCGAATGTTAATACAGTGTATTATATAATGTTAGAACATTTATTTTTATAATTTATTAATATAAACACTAATCTCATCCAAAAGTCTTTAAGTATCACAAAGTTTTCAAGCCCAAAATGATGGACTGTCTTTTTCTGAGAGTGTAGTTTCTGCTTAAGTGCTATCACTAGTAACGAATTCATTCTGTCAGCTGTTTTCCTTAAAGTGATACATTATTTTAATTTTTCTGCACAATGTCCAAATCAAATAACAAATTGCCTTCCAAATTTTGTTGACATTTCTTTGGCTGTTAGTATGCTTTTGTACCTTGGTATTATGAGTGAAAATATCTTACTCCTTTGTTCTCAGGTCAGCAGGCTTCGGGAAAGGTGAAGAGGTGACACTATTAATAAGTCATTGTCAGTATCGCACACTTGAGGCAGTCTTTGTGGTGGTCATCTTGGTTATGTAGTGCTGCTCTAACATAACAGGAGTGCCACAAATGCATGCTTGTGACAAGCAAATCTAGTCTCGCAGTTTAGAAGGCTAGAGATTCAAATTTAGAAAGCCCACGGTTGTGGGGGGAAGGCCATCTTTCTCTGTCAGCTCTGGAGAAAGGATCTTGTCTCTTCAGCACTTTTGTCCTGGCGTTTCTTGGAGAGCTCCATGGGTCTTTGCACCCATCTTCCCTTGGATCTAGGAGCTTCACAGTGCAGGGTCCCATTCTACTCCTGGTAGTTCTTTCAGTAATAGGCACCTTCTCTCTCCTTGCTTCTCTCTTTTTAACTCTTTAAGATAAAAGATATTATCCAGAAAAGAAAAGCCCACATCCCTGGGAGAAAGATGAGACTTTCTGCTTCTGTAAATATTTATAGACTGTGGAACCCACTGGGGCAGTTCTACTCTGTCTTGTGGGCCACTATGAATGAGCCCAAATCGGCTCACGTCATAGAAGATCGTCACATCACTGTCAAACAAGATTCATCAATGAAACAGTTATTGCAAATAACTCATCTTAATATCTTTAAAAAATTTTTAAGTTTTTTTTTAAAAAGCTGTAGAACTAATCTGATGTGGGATACCAACAAGTAAAGTTTCAACAACAACAACAACAAATATATATATATATCATTATATAAAGTAGATATAGAAAACAAATAAAATACAGAATAATCTGTCATATTATTCCTATATTGTAGTATATTCAATACAATCTAATTAATATTATGTATATGATATTAAAAATATAATTTTTTTAGAGAGCCCACATCCCAGAAAAACTCCTCTTAGATCAGTGCTGACAGGATTAAATTAACCCCCCCCCTTAATTTTTGTATTGGCTTATTCCATCAGCTCACATCATAGAAGATCATCGCATGACTGTCAAACAGGAGGCTTGTGGTCCAGCCAAGTTGACACACATTATGGGGGTTGTAAAGGAGGCACGCTTCAGTCCATGACAGTCTCTGGATGACAGTGTCTGATTTGAATCTTCACTTCACCACAGATTAGTGTTATACCTCATTTCTCATAAAATCATAATTTTCATAATAGCTAGAAGGATTAAATAAGATTTTTAATGTAGAATTCTTTACATACTACCTCACCCTTCATCTGTGCTCAATAACTGGTAATTGTCATAAACTGAAAGGTTGGAATTCTACTTTCTTGAGGTTTTAACAGTATTCTTTCCCCCCTATACAGCATTTATAAAAAAACAAGTATTTCATTTGTGTATAGAATGACCATGATGTCAAATATTAAGTCGTAATTTCAGAGTGTTTTACTTAAGCATCTGTGCTTTATATGCTTACATAAAGCACTGTGGATGGATCTTGTCCTTCAAATTCCTGTTGGGTGGTATTCGTTTTCTGTTCCAGTAATGGTAATTCTGTTCTATAGTTGAAACTAGAGAAACTACGGAATGCAGGTGTTTCAGTTACTGAATGATTGCTTCGTGACCTCCATTCAGAAGCCTCCTTGGCACACTGGAATACTTAGTCTTTAAAAAGAATTCTTAAAATCCTGAATAATGAGGCCTTCTCTAATACATACTTTAAGAAATTGATTTTATATTTCTTTGATATATTCGACTGCATACTTAGGTTCATTTAATCCAGAAAATTTAGTATAAAAAAAGCTGTTTTATTTAGCCTTATCCATGAATGTAAATGCAAAAATATTTTTAATCATTTCAGGAAATTTCAAGACTTAGAATGGCTGAAGGAGAAACAGAAACGGCAAAATCTGAAAGGTAAATATAAAGAAGAACAGAATGTCAAAATATACTGCATCACTTGAGGTGTGTTACTACACAGGAAATTGGCAAAAGGGTAACTAACTTTTTGCATACATTGCTTTTAATAAAAATTTTGAATATTTAACAAAAATGCGCTAGAGATCCTAAGCTTAAAAATTACACATCTAGATGTGCATTTTAGGAATTACTGCATTTAAAAAAACTTTACATGCAAGTAAAATATTGACAAATTTGTGTTGTCCTTATTAAATGAAAATACCGACAAGATTCATCATGAAACAGTTATTGCAAATAATTCATCTTAATGTCTTTTAAACTTTTTAAAGTTTTTTTTCAAAAAGCTGTAGAGCTAGTCTGATATGGGATCTCAACGAGTAAAGTTTCAAAATCCATTGGTTGATTTTTTTTTTTTTTGGTTGATTTTTATATGTAATGTAATCCTCAGATAGGACACAAAGGACAGAAGACATTTCAGAATCCCTTTGAGCAAAAGAGAAACCTAGCCTTCCAATTAGAACTTTATTGTACATAAAGATAATCCTATTTTGTCTTATAAGCAAGCTGTGCCTTTCTGGCTTTACGCAGTATATTTTAGAGCATGTTAATTTGTAATCAATTTTGATGAATTGATCTATTGCGTTTTAAAAGGAAGTTCCGAGATGAGGTCTTATGATGTGTTTCTCAGTCTTAGTAAAGTTAACTAGTCTACGTACTTCCTTCTTCTAGGAAACAAAATGAATGAAAATTCAATTGAATTTTAAAAAGTCTTGTACCATGTATATTATTTAACACTTTCTGTAAGTTTAGTTAGTTCAGTAAAATCTTTTAGAAAATAAGAATGACAAATTTGAAATGAAGAGGAAATTTTTTGGTAAATTTTTAAATGAAATTTTGTAAATTTCATAATTGGACTAAAGAAAAATGAGTTGAACTGAACAGAATTAATAATAGACTTAAGGGATCTTGGTGTGAAAATTGTGAATCTTTCTTGTATACCAGTAATAAACAATTACAAAATATACTAGACAATTTAATTCACTCAGAATAGTAACAAAAATGAGAAAAGTGTACATTTTAATAATGAAAAATGCAAATTTACCAAGATAGAAAAATAATATCTTAAAAACTTAAATGATAGTTTTTTTCCAAATTATTTTATGGATTTAATGACTGGTTCAAAATCCCAATGAGATTTGATTTGTAAATGAAAGTTTAAATAAGCCTCATAGTTTTCTACTTGTTAATACCATAACTTATAAATACACTCCCACCCCCACATAAGTGTACACACAACTTATAAATACACTCCCACCCCCACATCAGTGTACACACACATGTACTTAAAGGGGCTTCAAAAAGTTTATGGGAAAATTGTATTATCTTTTAATTTCATTTTTCCACAAACTTTTTAAGCCCTTTTGTATATACACACAAACACACATAAAGTGTATATATGTATATCTCTATATATTTATGAGGCATTTAAAAAAATTTAGAACTAATAATTAGGGAAAAAGTTGTGACGGTTTTTGTAATTTGTAGAACAAAGAACATTCTACACATAAAAACAATATATAAATCCCCAAACAAAATAGATTATTTCTAAATGTATTCTTTATGTAAAGTTCTCTTAAAAATTTTAGAAACACTAGGGACAGACAAGGTATATGAACAGATGAAAGTGATAACCAGGCCCAAACCTAGTCAGTAGATTTTCCAAGTCTACTTTTAATATGACTCTTGAGAATTTCTCATTCTGTTGCCTAAGAGTATGCCATCTCTCAAATTACAGTAATATCACAGGAAAGACTATATTTTTTGGTAGGCAAGAGTGTCTTGAAATTTCTCACTCTCTGGAGTAAGGTTTTTATTGTGTTGTACTATATTAATAAGGACTAGATTTTTTTTTTTCAGTGAACAAGATACTATTTCATCAGAGGAAGGAAAAAATGGATGTGATGAAAATTCATTTGAAGCCTCATCAGTAACAAAAAGTGAAGAAAGTATAACAGTTTCACTTAAGACAAATGATGCCTGTCTTCCAGACCAGGAAAGTGGCTCAAAGGAAATCATCAGTGATGATTCAATTAAGGATGAAGACAAAGTGGAAAAAGAAAAACAAATAGAACTTGTTCGTCAGGAAACAGAGTTGAAGCTGTGCCAAAATTCAGAAAATGTAGATTCATGTGATCAGATTAAAGATCACAACTCTGGTGAAACTAAGCGTTCTTCTAAGAATATCAAAGCTTTGCGATTAACAACAGGTGATGATGTTAGCATTGATCAATTTTTGAGAAAAAGAGATGGGTCTGAATCTGTTAGTTCTGATGTTAGTGAGCAAGGCAGTGTTCATCTGGAACCTTTGACTCCATCAGAAGTACTTGAGTATCAAGCCTCAGAAATCTTTCAAAAAGGTGGTGGTGATTCTTCAGCCAAGCCTGATGAAGTGTAACGTGTTATCAAACAGCTGATATGCCTAGAGGAAATAGCCTGAACACAACAGAGACAGCAGTAGACCTGGTAGATGAAGAAGGAAGGAGTTGAAATTAATTTGTCATCCTGAGTTTTAGTGTACTTGCGTTAAAACCTGGAACAGTGTATCCAATCCAATGAGCTCAGTGGTGCGGTTGTAGAGTTCTGAAATAAACACATTTGAGGGAGGTCATTCGTACACTTTACCTGTATGTTCAACCTTGATTACTAAATAAGTCAGTTCATCAGTAATAGCACTATTATGTATGGCTTTCTAAGAAGCTTTGTTTTAGAAATGAGTAAGGTTTTAGTGAAAGTTGTAAGTTTGCATTTGAAAAGTCATTTTAGCAATAGCAATTGTCTTTTCAAGAACACAATCCTTGGTTGCCAATATAAATTGAATTATAAGTATTATACTTAAAAAGTTTTGAGACTTCCATAAGTCCTAAGATAAAAGCCTTTACCAAACTGTATACCCTTTCCAATTAATTTGAAGAGATTTGGAAGCCTACCTTAGGGGAATGACTAATTTAAAGTAATGGAGGATTGGCCTTGGTAACAGGCTTTCTGTTGAGTAGAATGTGGTATCCAGAGTTTGCTCGAGTGCTGCTTTGATCTAATGAGAACTTGGAGGAACATAAACTTCATTTTGGATTTAGTACAACATACCAGACTGTATGAAACATGTAAACAGAATATTTGAATTGCTATACCTCCATACAAATGTTAGCCTGCCAGGCTGTAAGCTTACCTTGATTAAACTTTCAGTGAAAGTGAAATTATTAAAATATAAATTTATATTTGTGCTTTTTTGTCAGTGTATGCTGTGCAGAAATCCCTTGATGTATCCATTGTATAAACCCATTGTTGAAGCCCACTGTTAAAATTCCGATAACTATTATGCTTTTCACATTGTTTTGATGACCTTAATTAAAATAAACCCATACAATTGGTCTGGAAGCCACACCAAAGTTAATATAATGTAAAAACTGTACAGCAGTAAACTGCAAACCTGTCCTGGCATTTATTCAGCCATGTTTAAGTGACTTTTCTTTCCTTGTAAAACTGAAACGGGACCTAAAACAGTGATGTAAACATTGGTTTGGGGAATTAAGCTTAATTTATCCATAAGATGGCTGCTAAAATCAGTTGTACTTTATCTTCTAGAAAATAATAGAGAAATTAATAAGGTGAATGTAGTTTGCTTTGAAGTACTAATTAACTTTTATTTAAAGTTCTGCATTTTTCTGAAATACCTTTGCTTTTAATCTTAAATTTGTTTCATTAAGTGTTTTAAACAGCTATTAAAATTCTTTTGTAAATAGTTGATTTTGAGTAAATATTTGCAATAAAAATCTATCTCTGAATGATTTGTTTTTCAGATCACTGAGTCAGATTGCCTTGGCACCTTTAGAAATTGTGTACTTGTTCTAAGAAATGTTACTGGTGAGATTTTATTCTGTGTTCTTTAATACCTGATTCATTTAAAATTGGGACTTAAATTACAGTGGGTGATACTACTGATTTCTACTGCAAATAGAATTGCTTTACACACTATTTCACTTCATGCAAAATGTAATTTATAGTTTTCTATCTGATGAACAACTTAAAGAAGATAAATAGGCAACATAATATTGAATTACTTTTAATTCTTCAACTATATATACATATATTTGTCTTGAGGGGGAGGGACCAACTATTTTCATGTTTCTTCCATAAAGAAAACATGAGAAAGGAAACCCAAGTCTGTAGCAGGAAAGACTTGAATTGTAAACCTTGACAAGAGCAGATGTAGAAAAAGGTGTCTGAATCTCATTCAGTTTGTCATCCAAACGATCACCTTATGCTGTAGTATTTGAGAACACAGCGCCAAAAACTGACCCTAGAGTCTCTTTATGATCAGAGATTATAAATCCCTCATTGAGTAAGTTGAGTGATGAAAAAAGAAAATGGCACTTGAACTGCATATTGTTTTGGTAGCATACTTGTCTTCCATTCTCATACTCCTATCACCGTTGAGGAACTAACAATTTGACTATACATACCAAATTTTTGAGTAATAATCCTTTAGATAGGAAATAGTAAAGATTGTGGATCATACGTTAGCATTTCTCAATGCTGCCTTCTATCATGAAAGCAGCCAGAAGTGTTTATGGTCCAGTAAAACCTTTCCAAAAGCAGATTGGTGACTGAATTTGGCCCTGGCGCCGGAGTCTGCCTACTGCTGTCTTGGAGTTCTCAGTCTTCTTTAATGTGGATATGGAAGCACTCTAGTGGCTTCAGAACAACCAGGAAGCTCCAGAACATTAATAGTTTCCTACTCCTTAAAAATAGATTCATTATAAGTTAAATGATTATAAGTGAAGGCTAAAGGTATTAAGAAGAATTATATTTAATAGGATGCTCTTAAAATTGAAATGTTTATATATATTTGTGCTTCCTTTTTTGCATCTCTGTCATATTTTAGAAATAAAACTGCAGTTTTTTCGTCCTGCAAGCATTTAGAACTAAGTATTTGTCAAAAGGAACTGACATCATAAATTACCTTGTTTGGGCCAAAAGGAAAAGGGGGAAATAAAGTATCTCTAGGTAGTTATTAATTCCCTAAAATGTCAAAGGCAAGATTTGAACCCAATTTTTCTATTTAGATTTGAACCCAATTTTATCTGATTCAAAAGTTAGTTTTTTCTACCATACCTATAGCTTACAGCCCTTCTATTAAATGCCTCCTTTTGCAAACAACCTTTTATCACAAACTACTAAAAGAACAAGGACTTATTAACTTTTAGGTGTCTAGTGACCTCTTTTTAATTAGAGATAAGAGAGGGGCTAATTAGAAAGGAAAGAGGCTAATGAATCATTTTAGTAATAGGAAAGCATATAATTTAAAAATTAGCTTTGTATATAAATGTAGAAGTTAATTAGCATTTTTATAGACTTCTGTTAATATTATTTAAGTTCATTGCTGTTACGACCATTTCTGTTCCATTAAACTTGTTATTCAAAGATCACATGTACTAATTTCAAGAGAAATTTTGGCATAGGTACTTAATGACAGGTCTTTTGTCAATTGAAAAGGTTTAAAGAAATATTTCTATCAAATCATTTGAAGAGCTAAATACACATGTATCATCACCTCTTCTTTCTCCCATGAAGCAGCTGGTGGGATTTGAACTGCTGGCACAGTAAGTAACTCCATACTGGCTCTCATAGAGTTCTTTTTACTTAAGAAACCATATGATCCATAAGCCCAACATGTTTGACCCTTTAAAAAAATGGTTTTCCCATCAGACAAAATTCTTATTACTAAAATCTACAATACTTTGCAAACTTACAATAAGAAAAAACTAACTGCTCACTGAGGAGGTGGGAAAAGGACCTGAACAGAAATTTCACAGGGGCAGAAATCCAAATGGCCAATAAACATGAGAAAATGTTGCCGATCATTAGCCATAAGAGAAACGCAAATTAAAACAACTATGAGATACCACCTAACACCCTCAAAAATAGCCCAATTCAAAAAATCAGAAAGCAACAAGTGTTGGAGGGGCTGTGTTGAGATAGGTACTCATCGACTGCTGGTGGACCTGTAGGTATGTACAGCCACTATGGAAATTGATTTGGCAATATCTAAAACAGATGGAAATTCAGATGCCATATGACCCAGCAATCCCCCTACTGGGCATATACCCAGAAGAAGCAAGAAACAAACCACAGCCAGATAGCTGTGCTCCAGTGTTCATCGCGGCACAGTTCACAATTGCAAGGAGTTGGAAACAACCCAAATTTCCATCAACAGTTAAAAAACTAGTACATATATACGAGTACTACGCATCCCTAAAAAGCAGTGATGAACACATGAAGCATATCACAGCATGGGAAGAACTGGAGGAAATTATGCTACGTGAAGTAAGCCAAGCACAAAAGAACAAGTATAACATGAGTCCACTGAGGGAAAGAGGGACTGGACTTCAACCTGGTGCGCCAAGATGTGAATGCAACATACCGGCATGAAGCAGGGAACCAGTAGAGAGGTCTGAGGGCCTAGCCCCAATCCCAACTTCATGGACAGTCGCCCCTCCCCCCAGAATAATTCACTTCAGAGGACAGCACTGAAGCTACAGCTCAGGGAGAGGGACATGTCTGATCAGAGCACATGGGAGCAAATGAAGGAGGAGGAAGAGTGAGTGGAGCACACCCTGGCCCATGATGCCTTGAGGACAATATCCCCTAAAAGCAGCCAATGCACAGAAAGGAACATATGGCGGCCCCACTATGAGACACGACATCCCTCGCTGACCCATACCCCTACAGGGACAACACTGGTGACACAGTGTGGGAATGTCGCCTATCTGACCCCCACACCAAGGCAAAACACTAAGGACATGCAACAGAGCAGCAAGGGGAGCAGATACCTCCTAAAGGTCAACAAACAAACCTTGAACTAAAAAAGAAAAAATGGTTTTCCATCCTTTGTCTATATTATATTTTATACTGCCATGCATTCAGTACCAGCTAATGGCATTGGTAGCTGGGTGGTGCAAACCATTTGTACTGGACAACTAACCTGAAGCTTGGCAACTTGAGGTCACCTAATGGTGCTGTGAGGAGGCTTCTTGGCATAGTAGGTTAGCTATTGGACTGCTAACTGCAATTCACATCCAGTAGCCATTCCATGGGAGAAAAATGAAGTTTTCTTGCATGAAGATTTAGTCTCCAACACGAAAGGTATACTTCTACTATACCCTATAGGGCTGCAATGAGTTGGATTCAACTTGATGGCAGTGAGTGAGTTAGATAACATAGACAAGACCCTATTTCTTTTTTGAAGGCCCTATTTCTAAACAATTACTGTGGGATAAATAATGTTACTCAATTTAGTCTTCACAGAATGGGTTGAGGGGGAGAGGCCGTCTGGGATATGGTTCCGTCATTCAGCATGAGGCTTCAGCAATGGCTCCGGATGCAGATGCTCCATGGGCTTCCTAGTTGGAAGATAAAGCACATGGGAGAATGACACATCCTTGGGACATGGACGCTTTGTGTGGGGGAAGCCGACCAGATTTCACTTTGTATTCTTTTTATTGTAATAAAATTGTAATCCTGAATTTAGTACAACTTGAGAAGATCTTCGAGCAACAAAGCCTAATTAAATCAGGAATATAGCCATCACAGAAATCAAGATCTGTTGCCGTCAAGTCAGTTCCAACTCCTGGTGACCCTGTAGGACAGAGTATTACTGCCCAATTAATTCTCCAAAATGGTCATCTTTGCAGAAGCAGATTGCCTCCTCCTCCTCCCCCATCAAGTGGCTGCATAGTATGTTAGGTGCCATAGAGTGAGTTCCGACGCACGTACAACAGAATGAAACACCATCTAGTCCTGCACCATCCTCGCAATGGTTCTTAGGTTCGAGCCCGTTGTTAAGGCCACAGTGGTCCCAACGCTAGTATACTATATACAAATTCCATCAATGCTTTTCAAGAAACAAGCTTTGAAGGCAAACTGAGTTCCTAAATTGACAGTTTCACTTGTGATTCTATAGTGAGCTGACACCAACTTGAAGGTGCTTTTTTACATGCCCTTAGCTTGACTAATAATGCAAAGTGAAATTTTTTGATGTCTGGAGTATTGGTTACAAAATAAAGATCAAGATTGGTGTGGCCATTAACACTTTAACTTTTCATTTTAAGTGTTAAACACTGTCAGTCTGGGTAGACTAGGGAAACAAATCCACAGAAATTTATATGTATATGAGAGTTTTATATAAAAGCAAAGTGTAAATTAAAGCATCCCAACCCAGTCCAGTCCGAGCCCATAAGTCCAACATTAGCCCATATGTCCGACACCGATATACAAAGTCCTCAAACTCACGAAACACACGCAACAATGCCGAATGCAGGAGGAACGCCGAATCAGTGAGCGTGTAAGCATCTCAGCGCTGGCAAGGGTCTCCACACAGCTTCTCCAGCACCCAGGGCTGCATCAGGGTAGGTCCATCTGGCTTCTCAGGGATGTCTCGCTGGAAGTGAGCCTTGTCAGCTGAGGCAGAGAACTACTTAAGGCAGCTGTACACTGGTCCGACCATCAGAGAACAAGAGACCAGTGAACCAGAAAGGTGAGGCTTACTGAGCCATTAATCTCCACCCTTCAATTAATCCCACGTGTTTATTGGCCAGGTTGACACAATAAACCTTAACTATCACAAGCATAAATATTTGTGATACTTTAATTTTTTTAATTTGGCATAATGCTGTATTAATGTTTCCTTCGTTTACTGTGTTGTATATTATCAAATATCTATATTATAGATAATTGGTATGGAAATACATATTTTTTCACAATCTTAT